TAATTAATAACTTTAATTTTTTGGTGATTTTTAAAAAATTTCTTAGGGAATTAATAAATTTCTATAGGGAAAATGTAAAAATTTATAAACACAGAATCTACATCTTTTTTCTCTTAGAGAAAAATGTTATTTAAACCAAATATAATTTATTTATATTATTTTTTTGTTAAATAAAAATATATTTGTCTCAGAGCCATGATTTAAATAAAAATTTCATTAGACATAAATAAAACTTTTACTTAAACGAAATAAAATTTGATTTAAACCATTGAAAATTTGTTTGAAGCAAATAAAAAGTGTCTATGGCTTTGAGTGAAATATCTTTTTTCTGAGTGTTTATTGAAAATAAATTTATTTGATTAGAATAGCCGATTACTTGTCTATTTTTTAATAAATATTTACTTGAATCAAGTAAACTTTCCACTTTCATCAAAAACTTCTGGGAAAAAGACACCAATTTTTGTGGAGTTTTCCAAAATTTTTGGAGAAAATTTACCAAAAATATTTTAAAACATCCACTAATATTTGTGAATTTTCCACAAAATTCTCTTGGTAAAACTTCCCCCAATACTTTAGGGAATATTTCACAAAATTTCGGTGAAAATTCTCTCCAGATTATTTTGGGAGATATTCCACAAAATTCACTAAAAATTTTTTTACAGTGTAATTGATTTTTAAAAATTATTCTTTTATTTAGTCATTAATTAATTAGAAAAAAGTAACAAAAACACTACAAAATTAAATTTTCTTTTCATTGTCCATCAAATACTTTTTTAGTTAAATTTGCATTTCGTTGAATTGACTAATCATAAAAATTGTGCATAATAAAAAATTAAAGAAAAGAAAAATTTGTAGAAGAAAACTTGTGGAAACTCAAATTTAAATTTATGAAAATTTATAAATGTTTGAAAAATTAATAATTAATGAAAATACCAATCAGGTAAAAATTATACTATTTTATGTATATATAACACAACATTTTTGGGAAAAATTTCCAAAAAAAATCCATTGGCGCAAAAGACACCATACTTTTTTGAGAATATTCCCCATAAGTTTGAAGAAAAATTTTTCCCAACTAATTTGTTAAATATTTCTCAGATTTTTTGGAATTCCAATTTTCCAATAATTTGTTGAATATTTCTCTGATTTTTAGGGAAAAATTTCCCAATAATTTGTTAAATATTTCTTAGATTTTGAAGGAAGAATGTTCCAATAACTTGTTGAATATTTCCTAAATTGTTTGAAAAAAATTATTCGTAATACCTAATATTTTGAATATATTCTAAAATTTTTTAATGAATTTATCTGAATCTTTTATGGAAATTCTCCAATTAATAATGAAATTTTTTTCGGTAAACTGACAATTTTTTAAATTATTTTAAACAAAGTTTGGTTAACCCAAATAAATATTTATTTTGAATTTAATTAAACATTTCGTTCATTCTAATAAATTTTGCATTCGATGAAAGAATCTAATCATCTGAAGAAAATTTTTAGTTGAACTAAACAAAATTTTTGTTTTAATGTTTATGGCAATGCATTTATTTAGTTGCTTCAAACAAATTCTTCCTTGAGTATGTACAATCTTAATTTGAGTTTTCGAATTGTCCAAACCATTCGATAATCTTCATTCGATTCATTAGTAAATAAATAAAATTCCGATTTAGTAAATTTTAAATTGTATCATCAGTAGCATTTCTTCATTGTTTGGTACCAAAACTTGCAGAAGTCTATAACACATTTAAAAACAAAAAGATAACAGCACAATACATTATACTTTAGTTTAAGATTCAAATTATTTTTGGGCAACTGTTTTCTAACAAATTATTTATTGAAGGTTTACGAACATCATGAAACTGAAACTGTTACCAAGTTATCAGTATATCTATACTTAATTTTAAAAGTTAAAATTTTAATTTAAATATTTTTTAAGAAGCTGTAACTAGCACCCACATAATTTTTCAAAATTTTATGTTGGTTTTAAACAAAAAAAATACTTAACTAAAATTTAATTTCTAAAATAAAATGGGTGCTGATAACTGGGTGTCAGTTTTAGCTTTATGCGAATTAAGATAAATGTTCTAACTTGTAAAAAAAATCAGGTCTGTTTTTCTGTTTTCAAAAACATTGCGTACATCATCATGCTAAAAATGATGCATTGCAGTGACATTATTAGAAATAATAGCAACATTGAGACAATATTATTCCAATTTTAGTTACAAGTACACTGTGTGTGTACAAGTCGTTAATGACAATGAAATTCATAAAGTTCATGTGTCACATAAGGAATTTTAAAAAGCAAGAGAAAAATTTGTTGTTTATATTTATGATATTGTATAATCTCAGGTGTAGTTGGTTCTTTTATACAATGCCCACACAGAATGGACCACGCTGGTGTCAATACACGTTTGATTGGCCAATTCTCGATTTCTGAAGGATCGGTATTGGCAAAGAGTATTGAGGGCCCAGGGGAAAGCACCCACACATCTCTCACCTATTACCATATGCGGGGATCCCGATCGGCAACACAACTCGGTTCTTTCCGGTCGTTCCTTTACTTGAGACAAACTCAACTTTCAGTGTCGTGTCCACGCGCCTTCTGGTCAGACAGTTCAGTCAAGTCGTGTCACTCGGGGGATTCTCAGTCTTTTGCTCTCGGTCAGTTCCGTTTCCGGATTCATTTACCTTTCACAACAGTGTTTTTTTTCTCCTTCCCCACCAAATATTTTTTTTTAATTTTAAGTCTGTTTCCTTCATCCTCTGCTTCTTTGTAATTTGGGTTAATGCAATTTTTCGTGCTTATTAAAGTAACAAAATTCATATCTGTATAACACCACTTATCCACAAGTGGCAGAATCATCAGCTAATTTTGATATGTAGTAATAATTATAAAGTATTTATCCATCTAATAAGCCGATTGTTATTCTTCTAAATTGTTTATGAAGGTGTGTTTTATTTTTTTTTCGCGAAAAGGGTACGTTCAAGTACATTCTTGTTTGAAACTCACTTAGCACCATTCTTGAACCTTGAATGTGCTTGACACTTAAATGCATATATGTGTACTTCTTTAGAGAACTTGGTGTGTGTGAGCAATGCTTTCAGTATCCACTTCACAAGTGTTAAGTTACTAGTGCATCGCAAACAACTCAATGGATATTGTTTCTTCCTGTTTTTATCGGAAAAATCATTTTCTTTTTATTACATTCCTTGAAGCATTCCGTTGCTGCTCTTTGTAGACAACCGTTAAAAATTTGTTTGATCCAAAAAAAAGTGATTTGTTCTTCATTAAATTTATTTTCAAATATCTTTCATAGACACTAGGTAATAGTAGTAATTATTTTTACATTTCTTTAGAAGTACTTAAAATTAACTTACACCAGGTCAATGGTAGTAATTTCAGTCAGGTGCATTATTCGAAAATTAAGCATAAATATTTGTTGAAGAAATTGAACCTTTTAAAAAGTGGGTTTTTCCTGTGGGAATTAATACGTTTTCTATTCATTTCGAAGTGCTTAAAGTTATGCTACACTAGGCCATTGGTGATATAACCAACCATTTATTTTCGGTTTGTCAAATTTTCAAAAATTGAACCTATACCGTCCGTTAAAAATTTTATTCTTAAAAAAAATGGGTTTATTTCCTCAGAAATAAAATCCTCATTATTATTGTGATCATTTTGAAGCACGAAAAATTACGCTACTGTAGATTATTGTCAAAAATATCAATCTGGTTCGTTAAATTTTCAAGAAATGTAATTCTACCATCTGTTAAAATAATGTATTCTTCAAAAAATGGAATTATTCCTTTAAGAATTAATTGTTCTTCATTTTTTTATTCATTTAGAAACAATAGAAATTACGTCACTCTTGGTCATTGCCCGAAATTTTAATCCGGTTTGTTAAATTTTCGAAAAATGGAAATTAGAACATCCGTTAAAATCTTGTATTTTGCAAAAAATAGATTTATTCTTTCTCAAATTAATTTCTCGTAATTTTTATATTAATGTAGAAGCACTAAATATTACACCACTGTAGGTGGTTGACAATAATAAATTTAAATCAGGTTTGTTAAATTTTTGACAATTTGAACCTCTCAACCATCCGTTAAATATTTTATTTTTCAAAAAATGTGTTTAAATTAATTTTACTCTACATTTTTATATTAATTTGAATTCACTTAAAATTACACGACTCTAGGCAATTATCCATAATTTTAATATGATAGTTGAAATTTTTGAAAAGAAGAAATTAAGACATCCGTTAAAAATTTTTTTTTTAAAGGATTTATTCTTTTGGGAATTAATTCGTCATCATTTTTATATTTATACCACTCTAGGTCATTGGCAATAATTTTAACCTGGTTCCTTAAATTTTTAAAAATTGAACTTATAGCATCCGTTAAAAAATTGTATTCTTCGAAAAGTGGGTTTATTTCTCAAGAAATTAGATTTTTATAATTTTTATCTTCATATGGAAATACTAATAATTACACCACTCCAGGTCATTGGCAATAATTTTAATTTGGTTCGTTAAAGTTTAAAAATTTGAACTTATAATAGCATCCGTTGAAAAATTGTATTCTTTGAAAAGTGGATTTTTTCCTCAGGAAATTAAATTTTTATCATTTTTGTTTTCATTTGGAAATACTCAAAATTACTCCAGTCGGAGGTCAGAGGTAATTTATATTCTTTCAAATCCGATACTTTAAATTTTCAGAAAAATATCCAAATCATCGGTTAAAAATTTGGCTGACTGACAGAAGTGTCTTGTTGGTTAGAAGATCAATTACTAAATTTTTTTCTACTTCTTCGAAAACACTCAAAATTATATTACAATTTATTATTTTGCAAAATTTTATTTTCCCTTTTTTAATTAAATTCACAAATTGAATAATTTGTTAATTTTCAAAGTATGTGTTCGCAATAACAAAACAAAACACGTGGTACCAAAACTAGGAAATGTTTATTAGTCCTAATCAATTTGATTATTATTCTCTAACAGATGGTGAAAATCGAAGAGCAGAGAAGGACATGGTTGAGAAATTTTTCAAGTGATGTCGCAGAATAATCAGTTGATAATACTTTTAATGCAAGAAAATATCCACCCAAATGGGTTTGGGAATTCAAAGTGCCATATAAACAAATGTTTGCAAAAAAAGTCGTTGCATCGAAACGCTTGAAAGGCGATTTCAATCGACATTTAATTTTTTCACAATATAATCGAAAGAGCATACCGAAAAAATTAATAACTTAATCCATTCATCAGCTAATTCTGATATGAAACTAATGCTCCTAACACGCATGTAATAAATAATGAAAAGAACAAGAGGGACAAAATTTTATTGTAGATAATAATGATAATAAAATTATTTCTTAAAGGATCAACCGATCAATGGAAGTGCCTTTTAGTGTCAATCAATAGCGCCACAGCATCCGTTAAATTCGCTCTGTTCCTTTTAAAAATATCTTTGCATTCGAAAACCATTGGATCAATTGCTACAAGTGCCACATTAATTGCTTAATTTTTGTTCGGATATTTCGAAAATTCGAACAGGAATTTTGGATCATCAAAAACAACATCATAAGTTGGATCATCAAAAACAACGGAAATTTATCCAGTCATCAAAACAAGACCTTCTCATTTCTGATGAGTTGGTAAAAATTGGATCAACAATAAATTCGTTTCTAATTTAAAAAAGTGGAACTTGTGTCAAGTGCCTTATTATTCATAATTCAAGGATTGAATTTTTAAAGTAAATAGTGCCTTGTATTTTTTGGATAGTGCCTTCTTTTTATTAGAAAGATTGAATTTTTTTTCAAACCCATATGTAAATAGTGATACTGTGACAAGAGAATAAGTGAAAGAGTGTGGAGACATGAGATAGTCGACATCTCAGGTGTTTGAAAAAAAGAAAGAAGGAAAAAATTTTCAAGGTGATTTTGTACAAGAGCGGAAGTTGCTCTTATAGAGGAAGATGTCGACACAGGCTTATTACAAGGAGAGATTGGGTTTCGATCCAGCCGACACTGTTGCCGAACATCATAGGGAGCAAAGATCACAGCATGGATACGAGGAGTCGCTCTCCAAGTTTAAAGGTCAGAACGGAAATACATTCGCTGAAAATTGGTCAATCGTGACCGGAAATGGAGACGCTGCAAGTGAGGACGAACTTGTTCGTCCTGGTAGCTCACAAGCGTGCTGGGGCTGCTGGGCAAAGTTCATTGAGGCTTACGGTAAGTGACACATGTCTGATGCCCTAGTTTTTCTCTTTCTCTGATGTCTAAAGCTCTGAAAATCATTAATTTCCCTTTGTTTACCCTCGTTTTTCGTTTGTTTGTTTGTTTTTTCTTTTAAATTGACGGGAGTGAATTTATCACAACAGGGATCACAGACTGTCAAGTTTTTCAAAAATTTTTAACCATTTCAGCAAAATTTAAATTTTTATGATTTTAAACTTAAGCTAAATAAAATTTGTAAACATTAAAATTTTTAATTGAAACTTAAATCAATTATTAAAGTTTTTTAAAATTAAATTTGCGAACAATTGAAATTTAAATCGATTAAAATTTTGTTTAGTTTGAATATAAAATTTTAATAATTTCATTCTAGAATTTGAATTGAATTGTGAATCATTTAACATTTTTGTATATTAAGGTTTGGATCATCAAATTTTGAATAAATTTAATTCGCAATCCTTTGAAACTTCAAAAAATTAAATTTAAGAAACTCCAATCAAAAGTTGAAAAAGTTGAATTAAAAATTAATTAAAACTTAAATTAATTGTAATTTCGACAAATTGAATTTGAAATCAGTTACAAATTAGACAAATCGAATTTAAAATCATTTAAAAACTTCAAATAAAATTTGTTTTAAGTTAAATTGTAAAGTAATTAACACTTTATTCAATTAAAATTTGAATAATCGATTTGGATAATAAATATTGAATTAATTTTAAAAGAATTAAAAGTTTGTTAAATGAAATAATAGTTTATTTTGGACTAAAGTCAATTAAAATTTAGACAAGCTGAATTTTCAATCATTTAAAGTTTATGTAAAATAAATTCTAGATCAACTGAAACTTAAGTCATTTAAAACTTTGATAAATTAAATTCTAAATCTATTAAGACTTGAGTATATTAAAATTTGGACAAATTAAATTTAGAATCATTTAAAATTTAATGCAAATAAAATTTTTTGATAAATTAAATATTTAAGGAATTAAAATTTCAATGAATTTTTAATTTTTAATTTAACATATAGATAATTTAAACTTTAAACTATTTACTGTTTAAGTTAATTAAAATTCTGATAAATGAAATTTTGCGTTAATTCGAACTCAAGTTAATTGAAATTTTTAAAAATTGAAGTTTAAATTTTTTAAAACTTGTGTACATTAAATTTTGAATCATCTGAAACTTGAGTCATTTAAAATTTTGATAAATTAAATTCATAAGCAATTAAAATAATTAGGAAAAATTGATTTTAGAATCATTTAAAATTTACTTTAAGTAAAATTGTTTGTATATTTAATTTTAAAGCAATTAAAACTTTAATTAATTTAAATTATTTAGATAATTTGATCTTTGGAACATTTAAAGTTTAAATGAATAAAAATTTATAAGTAATTTGTAATTAATTAAATTTAATTCAAAATCAACTGAAACTTAAATCAATTTAAAGAATTTAGAATTTAATTTATCAAAGTTTTAAATGACTTATATTGCAGTTGATTCAGAATTTATTTTACATAAACTTTAAATGATTAATAATTCAGTTTGTCTAAATTTTAATTGACTTTACTTTAAAATAAACTGTAATTTTATTTAACAAAATTTCAATTCTTTTAAAATTAATTCAATTTTTGATTATTCAAATCGATTATCCAAATTTTAATTGAATAAAGTGTTAATTACTTTACAATTTAACTTAAAACAAATTCTATTTGAAGTTTTTAAATGATTTCAAATTCAATTTTTCTGATTTTTAATTGATTTCAAATTCAATTTTTTTAAATTTTAATTGATTTAAGTTTTAATTAATTTTGAATTCATCTTTTCCAACTTTTAAATTGTAAATTTTTTAATTTAATTTTTTAAAGTTTCAAAGAATAGTAAATTAAATTTTAATTGATTTAAATTTCAATTGTTTGCAAATTTAATTTTAAAAAACTTTAATAATTGATTTAAGTTTAAATTAAAATTTTTAATGCTTACAAATTTTATTTGGCTTAAGTTTAAAATCATTGAAATTTCAAGCCATGAAATTATTTTCAATTTTCATGGTTTAAAATTTGTAAAATTAAATTTATCAAGATTTTTATTTAATTTGAGTTTAAAATGATATTAAACTTTGATTTATTAAAGAAGAAGATGATACTGTGATGTCTATAAAAATTGCTACTCATTTAATTTGACAAAAATTTTGTTAATAAATAAAAATTAGTAACAAATTATGCGAATGATTTTATCTCATTTTGTTTTCGTTTTATATTCAAAATTTTTTATTATTTTTAAATTTAACATCAAAAACAGTTTCCTTTTAAATTCTGACAATGATTGAGAATTAAAAAAATAAAAGAAACTAGTTTACGCCTTTAATTTAGTAACTTAGATTCATTAATTTAGCATAAAATTATAATTACCATTATTTTTATGTCTTAGTTTAATTATTTAGATAGTTACATAAATATTTGAAATGAATAATTTTTTGTTATCTCTCACATTTACTGTGTCAACATTCATATAAAGCCATATAATATAATTGGATTTTTGTCTTAGAGATTAGGATAATTTATAGAATTTTTCATGCTTCGCTTTTTATCTTCATCAAGGTTTCCATTTTAAATTGTTGTTCAGACAAAGTGGAAGATTTATATGTTATTTTTATTTTGCTCCTCATGAATAATGTTACAAAGAGAATAATAATAATTCAAAAGAAACTCGGTACGAAAATATTTATATACCAATTAAGAAAATGTTTAAACTATTATTTTAGATAAAAATTCTTTTTCTCATAAGCAAAAGTTGCAAAATTATTTGATATTTATTTATTGATATTAATTAATTTATTAAAATAGATTAAAAATTAATTATTACACATTCTTAGTTATAGAATGTGTATTTCAGTAATTATCAATTTTGCTTTTTCAAGTTTTTTGTTTTTTTTTAAATTGTTTGATTTTTCTAGCATGTTGTGGTGTGATTTTGAAAAATTAATTCCTCTTATTATAAATGAAAAATATGATAGGCTCCGTTTAAAAAAAAAAAAGAAAGGATAGGTCGATTTGGTTGTTTTACTGCTAATTGGCCGGAGACAATAAGAAGATTTTTAATTGACTAAAGAAATGTTAGATGCTGATTAAATAATTTCCTGCTTTTTAGATCTTAATCATAATAAAAAAAAACTTCTTTCAGCGATTTCTCACATCTTTTTTTTCTTTCTTTTTCATATTCCGTTCTTCAAAGAAATCGACAGAATTTTTTTTTCTCCGTTTGTACATATAATTAAATTTTTTAATTAGGAATAGATTTTTATCACACTTTTTTTGCATAGATACTCAAAAAATCTTGTTTTTTAATTCACAAGTTCTTAAAATAAAAAATCCATTTTTTATATTAATAATTTTTTTGTTTAATTAAAAAAAATTAATTAATATTATTACAAAATTGCAATAATTAAAATTAATCAAATTATTTTTTTATTTATTTATAATACAGTTAGTAAGACAAAAAAAAAAAAAAAAATGTATATATATATAAAATTTAATCAAAATTAATATGAAAAATAAAAATCGTTTTTACTTGAATTTGAAAATCGAATAATTTTTTCTCAGAGCAAAATTTTTTCATTAATCTACAAAGCAGGGAATGGATAATAAAATTTTTTAATCTCAATTTCCGTTTGTTTTTCGTCTGTAATTGGAGTTTGAAGTCATATCATTAATCTTCAATGTAAGTTACAATGAAAAACCTGTCATCAAATTGAGTTTTTTTTTGACAGTGACGCAACCATATTGACCTCAGAGAGAAATCCTTATAATGATACAATTATCGAGAAATTGTGATCAATTGCTCAGTTCTTGGCATAGTTTCTTTAATTGAACTAATTATTAATTATCTTCGGCGAATTACTTTATTATGTTCAGAAAATTACTCGAAAAATTTGATTAGAATTCGCTTTTTCCTCAATTAATATTCAATTCTATAGTACAATTAGTCATTATAGTCAGAAACAATAATTCAATGAAAAAATTAAAAACATCTTTCAAGCAGTAATTAAATTAAATTAAACATTTTTTTCATACTTAGATAGTAAATTTTACTAAACGAAGAGCAAAAATAGTAAAATTGGCCAAATTATAAGAAAAAAATAGGTTTTAAGAATGATTCTGAACGTTCATCTGGACTAAATTTTTTGTAATTTAAGTATTTTCATAAATTACTCACTAAATTAAAAATTAAAGAAAAATTAAATATTTGGAAACCTTAGAAATTATTTTTTAATATACGATCCAATTTTTTTGTGATAAAAATTTGAAATTGAAAAAGAAGTAAAATAATTTCGTTTAGAACGTTCAGAACTTTAGAGACATAAGAAAATGTAAAAAATTAAAAATTTATAAAATTAAAATGTAATTATATTTGAACAACAGAATTTAAGTGATTTAGGTTTTAAGTGGTTTTTAAGAGCTTTATTCTATCAGCATGTAAATTCCAGTGCATTAGTGTGTTACTTACTGTATAGTGATACCTCCTTGCAGTCATTGATTTTTTACTAACATAGTTTATTAACACTAATTTTCATCATCTTTTGTCTTTTCAGCTATGTATAAATATCATTTTTTCACAAAAATATTTAGTTGTCGAATTAACAACTATTTAGAATTTAATTATAATAATTCAAATTAATCTGATTTTAACGATCAAATTGAAAAATGTCCTTTAAATCAAGTATTTTTATGAACAAATTTCAAATAAGCGCGCGTTTTTCAACCAATCAGATGAGACCGGCACTGAACGGGCGCTGGTCGATTTTGCGCAGAAGTAAGTAGGCGGGACCTATATTATACGCTGCCATTTGACAATTGGCGCGTTAT